TCAACGACATCGAACAAGTGATGAGGTTATAAGCACAAGTAGCTCAGGGTGACTGAGACAAGCACCTATTCTTTGACGGGAAAACTGTAAAATGACAGCCGTGTCAGGATGTCACGTGGACAGAGATCGGTATCACCGGCATGAGGAGTCAATCCACAGACAGGATCTGGAAGGGTCTAAACTGCTCATATTTCATTTCTCTAGCTCTTCCTCCACTGCCCAATTTCTCAATTATATAACTCGATTTTCCAAAAGGCGGCCTTTTCAGGCAAGCAACTTCTCTAAAGTCTTAGAGAAAAGGAAGCTCCATCGAAATGGGAGAGCATTCAATTTTTCACTCGTCTTCACTTCGTCACGTGCATGTCTATGCTGCATATGTGTATGGATCGAGAAATCAACATCAATTAGAGAAAAATGTCACACTGTATTTCATGCAATGTGTCCATATTTTAAGTATACTTATTCCATCACTCGTGCAATGCCCATCATGGCTAGTCATTTTCGTCAGATATATCAAAATGTCTGATGCTGTGTGAAACAGCACGCACAGCGCTACCTACAAGAATATATATATATATATATATATACATAAAAATAAATAAGAACCGGAAGGTAGATATTTATGCGCCAGAGCAGCCGATGGACAAATGGCAATGTGCCATGGAGAGACGGGAGAGGGAAAAAATCATTTCCACATGGTGTCGAAAATTTTCATAAAATGAGTCGTGGAAGCGTGCTTTCAGCACGTGTTCGGGATCGGGAGGGGAAGCGCATTCTAGAAACGTGGGACCCATGCGACTATGAAGCGGTAATGCTGCGCGAGTGTGCAAGTGCATTTCAACGAGTTCGCGAGCATCATAGAGTGGATACAGGCATAAAAGAATATGAGAACAGGAATGGAGGAGTTTTGGGATGAGCAGGCGAGAGAATGCGCGTGTACTTCTCGCCTTTCGATCCGCAGAGTGCGATCGGGGTAAGCAAGAACTTTGTACACTATTCTCGGAACTTTCTGAAATCACATTAGAAAATGATGTAGAGCTGCGCCCACACGACCTTGAAAGAGTGGCAGATGTGATCTATCTGGTGGTGAAGAGAGGGTGAACGTGCACTCCGAGACAGGTGGCTGAAGGAGAGATATTTTCTGGAAGAAGGCCGAAGAAGGCAGGCGAGCCATTCCAGAAAGGTTTTCTCGAGGTCCGTTTTCGGTTCACAGCCGAGAGGGACGAGGACCGATCCGAAGGGAATTTCATCTCGTGTTGTTCCACGAATTCAGCCTCCTCGGACCAGAAGAAAATAAAAGCCATAGGATTTGGTTCGTATAGGTGCCGTACGGGTCTAAAGGGGTTGGACTTTCGACTCGTGTCCTCGTGTTTAAACCCGTAGAACTCGATGGTTACGTTTTACCGACGAACCGAAGTCCGACGAGGCTTACCCTCGAGAGTTCGCACAAGAGGTCTCCGAGACGTGTCCTCCACGGTCTTCGCTAAATCGTGGCATGTTCGTGCTGCTTCACGCGAATCCGACAAAGAACGGACACGCTTCGGAGAGCGCATGGAGCTGTTAGGGCCTCCTTTGACCGGCATTCAAGCAAAGCGACGCGGATGATGAGATTTTGGGGAAGGGAAGGTGATGATGCCGAGATGCCCCCCGGCATGACCTGGGCAGAGAGTGTCAAGTAGGAGAAAGGGAGCTATTAGGAGCCTATTCTTCACTTTATGGAACTCCCCCTTTTCAGGTCCCCTCCGCATCATAAAAAAATAGAAGGCGTCCACACCATTGTTATCGCACTCGGTCGGGGGCTCGTACACATCTTTAATGGACGGCTTCGATTCGACTTTTTTTTCTTCTCGCCCCTCGTATCGCGTCGGCATCGAGATCGCGACGAGTCCAAATTTTTGCGACCCGTCAAAAATTGGTGACTTTTGTTGTCGAGGGACAGGATTTCGGGTCAAAAGGGACGTGTGTCTGTTGTCAGAGCGACAAAAAGTCCATAGACGATGTTGACCGCATTGTGGGTCCATTGTCGGGAGGCAGCTGAGCCTGAAAAAGGCGCAACGAAAATCTTCTTTTCACCCATTCACTCCTTTTCACCCACATAATCCACTCCTTTTCTCTGGGACTCGGTATTGTTGTGGCCCGTTTCTCTATTCCAAACAACATTCTCCGAGTGTGTCGAACGTTTTCGAGCCAGAAGGAGAGAAAAAGGCGAAATTTCGCAAGTGGGCGTGACAGGTGAAAAAGTCGTGAGGGTGTCATCAAAAACGATCGTGCAGGTGTCATGAAAGGTGTCGTAAAACGGGGGCATTCCGCACACCCTCCCTAAAAGCCCGATTCCGGGTTCCAGCTTTGCCAGCCCGGCTTTGCCCGCCCGGTTTTGCCGCCTGGCTTTGCCCGCTAGGCCCTGCCGCCCGGCGTTATCGCGCGACTTCGCCTTATCGCCCCCGATAAAACAAAAAAAAAACAAACAAGGTGCATGATGAGCCTGTTGACAGCGATGGCACAAAGGAACCGACGAGAAGACCCCCGATCGCCCACCTTCGCCTTTTCGTCCGTGCTTCCCGCTGGAGTTACGAAAATACGCCAAAACTACCTTAACAAATGAGTTTTTTTCTTTTCTTTCGCGAGGAAAACAGGGCGTCAACGACTCCCCGCATAATGAAGTTTCCCACGGGGAAGGGCAGAGGATGAAGGGTTGCACGTAGGGATTTCTGGAAGAAAACAGGGACTGTCAATCCGAAACCGTATGGGGTGGGGACCCCCCTCGGATCCCCGGGCAGAGAAAAACCGAATACAAACCGCATAATGCACACCCTCCTGTCACCATTGTTACCTCCAGTGTTTGTCATCCGATCCCCTGATGAATTTCCAGAAAAACTTCTCGACTTCGAGACGCCGTGCCCTTGGAATCCCGAAAATGTCACCGGGAGTCCCCGGGCAAATTTGCAGAGGAATCAGCACATTCCGCCTTTAAGATGACAGAAGCCGCGAGGTCGGCATGCGCCAGGCTCTTTTAAACAAAATCCAAAGGAGTCTTAATGACCCGGCAAACAAAAACCGGCTTTGAACGCGCCCGCGACTCGTTACAATCCATCACCGAAAGGTATTCCATTTTTTTTTCCTTTTCCTTGTTTGTACTTAAAAAAAAAAGGACACCGAAGAAAGGGAATTTTCCCCCGTGTTGTCTTTCCGGGAGGAGGATACATCCGCCGGGTTCTTCGGTAAATTCGCGGGAACCTTCCGTCGACCGAAGGCGGAGACGGTAGACCCTCAAACATCCGCGACGAATAAATTCGCGACACGTCTCCAGATGATAGGCTTTCGGCCGGCGTCGACGTGCCATCCATTCCGTGGGATCGTAATCATAACAGTGCCGAGGAATCCGCGATGAAAGACGAAAACGCGATTGGACGACGGCGTTCGCCTCGTCTCCGATTGGTCGGTTCCGCGAGAGCTCGAGCCCCGCGGTTGGTGGGGATCCGGCCGTGAGAGAGGTCGCGGGGGTCGCTGCGGACTCCGTAATTAGAACGATCAAGTCCATTGCAGCACGGTATCATCATCCATAAGACACAAGGTGCTGGGGCGACCGTGGAAATAAACTTTCCGACGAATATTTCTCTTTCGCCGAATTTCCCGAAATGTGTGTTTTTGCGACCGTAATGGTTGGAACTCGGTTGAAAATGGCGTGGCGCGGTACTCTCGGTGCAAAAGCCTCTTGCCTTCTCATCCCTAACAGAGTTACCCTTGAACAGCACTAGAACATGGGAACGCTTTGAGAGCATTCGAATCGTTTGAATCGAAATCGGTCGCGACTAGCACTCCTAGAAATGGTCAAAGAATGGCGCGTCTCGGCCATAGGAAATTCTACCATCGAGGTTGTCCCTTAAATAACGTCGAATAGGAAGACAGTATTCTGCGTTTCGGAACGAGGAAGAACTTGCACGGGATCCCGTTCTCCGACGGCTCCGATGCGGGGGAGGGGCAACGCGTCACGATTCCTCCGTGTCACGAATCCGAAATGCGCCGGGTCCCGTCTGCAGGGGTCTCCTCACCTTTCACCTCTCCCACATCGCCTCCTCCAATCCGCACATGGCCACCCGAATCCTCCAGAATCGTGCCTAAATCTCTTTTCAACCCGAAAATATTGCAACTCGACACCTTCAGCATAAACCCTTTTCGAAGACTCGAAGGTGAACAATGGCCGTCTCCCGTCCGATGAGGCCTTCTCGCATCCGGCGAGGCCTTCTCGCGTTCGACGAGGCCTTCTCTCGTCCTCCTCCCGTCTGTCAGTCACTCAGTCTGAGACCTTCGACCTTGGATCTTTCGACCCCAAGAGACTGCCGACTTATTAAGGATGACGACGCATCGTCAGGTCCTCATTTTCTTTTTCCCTCTGTATTTCCATTCGTGAGGCGGATCACAGCCGTCGGGGGTCCCTCTACAATCCCTCATCCGTGACACTTTTTTTCTGATTTTTTTTTCTCGACGGGCCTCCCTCGCTTGCTTGGATCGCAAGGAATGCTACTCCTCCTGGAGTTCTCAGATTTTCTTGTAGAATGAGGTCTGCTTACATATAAAAAAATATGAAAATGTATATAAAATATAATGTATATAAATAAAATATTAAAAAATTAATTCAAGCATTCTTATGCCCCGAATGTGCCCCACGAGACCGTCCAGGAGAATTTCCCTCACGTGTACAGGAGGAATTCTGGCAAGAGTGCCTATAGTGCTTTGCAAAAAGTCGTCCAGAAAAGATGGGAATGCAGGAAAGAAAGTAGGAAAGTGAATTCTTCGTAGCTCGGAACTGATGCGCTGAGAGGTGATGAGAGGCTCACGGGTTCAAACGCGAAGACATTACGAAAAAGCAAGACAGATATACTGTATATTTTTTAATTATAGATCTTTTTAATGTGAATTTTTTTCGTAGTTAAATCTGCACTGAAACGTTTAAAAAATCCCGCCATCAGTTCTTCGGCGGGCATCGCCTGATCACGAAGGCGATGGCGTACACGAAGGAGAAGCTCGGGGAAACCCCCTCGGAACTGCACGCCCTCCGCGTCCGCGGTTACCGGCTCGGGGCAGAACTGGGCGCAGGGGCGTTCGGGAGGGTCAGGAAGGCCTTCTACATCGAGGAAGGGAAGGAGGCCTTCCACACCCAAAACGGGAAGGAGGTGGTGCTGGCGGTCAAGATCATCGATAGGGTCAGGGCGTCGAGGGAATTTGCGGCCAAGTTCCTCCCGAGGGAACTCCAGTGCGTGGAGAGGCTCCGGCACCCGTTCGTCGTGCGGACGCACAGCATCGTCGAGAGGGGGAGCAAGGTCTTCGTCTTCATGCAGTACTGCGACGGGGGGGACATGTACCGATTCCTCGAGAGACTAACCGGTGACGGGAGACCATCTTGTTTTCCCCGATTTTCCGGCAAACTCATTTTTCCCTCTGAGTTAAACTCTTCAGAACTAAAATTGTTTTATTTCTTGACAGAACGCGCTGAAGTTTATAATTCGTTCGAGCCTTCTCACGAATTTTTTAAGGGGAAGAAAAGGAAAAAGAAAATGGGATGGAGTTTCTTCCGTTTTCCTTCGAAAATTTCCAAGTTATTGCGGAAGTATGCCTAGACGATGCTCCATCCGTGAATAGGGTTGAAAAACTGAAACGATAAAAATAGAATGTGTTGAAAAAGTTGGAAAGTTGGAAGTTGGGAAATTTGAAACCGTCTAGGTTTACGAACGGAAGGATGCTTTCACGCTGACGAAATCCTCGTTTGCAGGTCCGCTGCCGGACCGTCACGCCAAGTTCTGGTTCGGCCAACTCATCTCCGGCGTGAAGTACCTGCACGAAGAGCTGAAAGTGTGCCACAGGGACCTCAAGTGCGAAAACCTCCTGCTGACCCGCGGATTGAACGTGAAGATCGCGGATTACGGATTCTCCAGGGACATCGCGGAGGACGCGAGCCGGACCTTTTGCGGATCCCCGGCGTATTGCGCGCCGGAGATCCTCATGCACAACGCGTACCGCACGCCCATCGCCGACGTCTGGTCCACCGGGGTCATCCTCTTCGTCATGGTCCAGAACTCCCTGCCCTTCTCAGGTCGATGAGAATTTTCGGAAATGCTTCCACGATCCGTTTCAAAGATCGTTCCTTTCCTCTTTGATGAGAGAAACAATTGGTCTCGATTTCCTGTGAATTTAATTTGAAATCGTCCGAGCTTTTTTCTCGACAAAATCGGGAGTGGCCGGACTCTATCGCGAGAAGAAAGCATGATCGATGGGTTTTCTCGTCCAGGGCCAGGGGTGAAGGGTCTGACTTTGCACCAGTTGACGAGGCGGATGGAGTGGATCTCGCCCGTCTCCCCCGTCTGCAAGGACTTGATCCACAGGATCCTCCAACCCCAGCCCGAAAAACGGATCTCGCTCCACGAGGTTAGAGACGTTTATATCTTTGGGAGGTCCGACGAGGCTTTTGGCCTTCCGCGTCGAAGTCGAGAGGCAGAAGAAACGAACGGGAAAATGGCTGGCTGAAGCGGAAAGTTTCATTTAGCCGAGGATCTACTTCCACGTGCAAGCGTTGCTGTTAATGGTGGTAGGGCAGTGGAGGAGGAAAGGCTGAAACTTTCTCACGACAGTATCTTAGAAAAAAGAAGGGATGTGGGCGTATTTGCTGGGAACTGTGCAGATCCAGAGGCACCCTTGGCTGTCCGACGTGGAGCATTTCAAGCTGCCGATGGAGCAATGTTCGCCTTCTCGTCCCCGTCTCTCCAGTAAACGCGTGAAGAGAAATTTGGGCCCCGATTGATCGTTTGCCTTCATCTGTTCTCTACCTCTCGAAGACCTCAATTTCTTTCCGTAAAAAAAAAAAATATTAAAATCTGACAACAATTTTTTACAAGTTTTATTGCAATTATGGAGCTGCGTACTGGCTGTTCCTGGATAGTCATTTCCCATCATCAAGCTAGCATTATTTCTTCCTGGCAGCCATACTGCCAGAAAATTCGGAAAATTCGGAAAATTCGGAAAGGGAAAGTTTTTTATTTTTCTTTTGCAAAAGAGTTCGCTTTGGAGATCCAATATCTGTCGCCGAGGGAGGAAAATCCTAGAGAGGGTAGAAAGTACGAGGTAACCCGAAGCCAGCCGTTCTAAAAATACAGTTTTTTTTTCACAACTCGAAGAGGGTAGAGAGCGAATAAGTGGAACGCTTGGGTGCGCTTGAAGATGCCCACAAGATCACGGAGCAAGGCCATTACGAGTGAAGTTATTCTACTGCTCTTTCTCCCCGTAGAGACAAACACATGCAGATGGTGCTTCTATAATGGTGGCAATGGTGCGTGGATGCTCTTATAACACCCTGTGGCCCCCATACTCGTACAGGGCCATGCCCCATAGACCTCCACGAATGCTCCCAAGGCATCTCCTTCCCTCCAAGTGTTTCCTCTTTCGAGTGACCCTCCGTGCATGGAGGTTTGGGGGGGAAGGGGGGGGGGGGGAAACCGCGAGAAACCAATCTCGAGGACAAACAGGGTCTTTCATAATCCCCTCTGTGTGTGTGTGTTTGGCCCCGAGTTTATTGCCGGGGTCTAATTCCATGAACATCCCGTCCAATTTGGAGTTTTGTTTGCGTTGTCGCCCCGTTTATGACTCTGCGCTGTAAGGACGAAAATCGTCTGCTCCTTTTCCTCGGAAACTCTATACTTCACGAGAGGATGCTAGGAGTACGGCGCAAGGAAATAACGACCTTCGGTGCGGGAGATAGGGGTCAGATGTCCGAACGTGTTTTCGCCTACACAAACGCCTTTTTTTTCTGCATTATATTACGGGCTGCAGTGAAATCGGAAGTTTTCCCCCCATAAAGTATCCTGTTCTTATCTCTCCTCTGTTTCGGCTCTTCTACCCAGAGAAAGACCCGAGTTGCAGATTATCCTAGATTTGAACTTTTCCACCGATTATTTGCTATTCCCATTTTCCTTGCATATTCGACATCTTGACGATATACCGTTTCTGTTTACAATAATCTCTTCATAAAGGGACTCGTACCAAAAGACGACGTTTATTTTAAAATATTCGTGTATAATTCTGTATTCGTCGTGGGTGTTCGTCCATTTCCATTCCCAAAAGCATGCCTTTTCTTTCTCCACTCCTGTCGAGGACTCGATGGGTGCAGCTCGCATTCACTTCAACAAGGTTTTCTTTCTCTTTTTCTTGCCCTTTGAGTTCCGTGTTCCAACAAGCCGGCAATAGGTCACGTTGTGATGGGTGCAAGGAATCCGAAGCAGGTGCAGAGAGCGTGCTTGGGATGCCTGACAAAACCGCAAAACACGGACCGCTTCCAAATTACCCTAATGCCCTTGCTTGTTTTGCATGAGAAGAAGCGGGAGGGAGAAGGGAATGCACCGAACACAGAGACTCCAGCAAAAACCTCTTCATTTCAGATACATTCACGAAACAAAAGGAATGACTCGGAGGAGATCGACGACTTCTCGTGGATCTTCTTTGGAAATGCCCCACAAATTTTCAACTTTTAAATATAAAAATATATATATGTATATTTATGCGATGACTCTTGTTGGTTCAACTCGAGAGGATGGAGTCGATGCGGAAGTCCGTGTATCGTTTCCGCTTTCTCGCCGTCTCCACCGGCAACGGATCGCTGAAACGAAACGAGGAACGTGAAACGGGGCGTACGAAATGCGGACCGCATGCAAAACTGTTCATTAGAATGAATGGAGGGCGCGAAAAGAATGAGGAGAGTGAGATGGAGGAGTCTCTGTCTCACCTGTGTGGGACGAGGGGAAGGTCAGGCCGAGGAATGGACGTCCGCGAGGGGCACTTGGATCCGGTGCGGTGGAGGGCCAGGGTCCTCCCCTGGCAGAAGCCCTTCCCGCAGTCCTCGCATCGGAACGGCTTCTCCTTCAAGTGGATGTATCTGCGTAGGGGGAACAGATATTCTTTCAAATCCAAGTCAACGAATGCGAAGATATGTTAAAATTGAAGGGTAAAAATTAGTATTATCCGTTTCGCTTTTTCCTGCATATCGTAAGTTCAACTCAACAAATGAAATAATGATACCGTGCACCTCAGTTCATCATATATTCTAGCGTTGAAAATTCAAGATGATAAAAATTAATAAGTTTGCCATAAACTGACTCATACTAATTTGTTTAAATATCATATTTCGCATTTGAAGTATTCATTAAGGGTTCATGGTTTCCAGCAACACTGGGCTGCACCCAATACGAGCTCGATGTCCCATTTTGGCAAAGTATGCAAAGAAGAGGGCGTGACGTGCCGGTGGGAGGATATCGGTCATCCTCTGCTCTCCAACTTATTTATTTGGTATTCCGGGAAAACAATTAGTGCGGTGTGAGGCCACGTGGGAGAGACATCGGAGTAGGCGGGTAATTTCTAGTCTCCACCGACACCTCCGTCCACGTAATGTGCTCGCCTGCGAGGCGTGGTACTACTTCCGGATATTACTCATTTCCTTCCCCGGTAATGGGATGAATGACACATCACTTCGGCCGCCGGGCAGGAGGATATTCATCAGGCCGTCTCGCCTATTCCGTGGAACCGAGCCCGTCGAGTGAGCCCCCCCAGGGAGACGAATGACGAACCCGTTAAAAAATCATCCACGAGTACATATAAGCCTTTTTCATGTTTTACGTCGTCGTTTTCCTTCTCCCGGCTTGAGCCGATAAGAACTCGTTAAACATATTTAAATAATGGAAACAGCAGGAATGAGAAAGAGGCTCACTTGTGGTCCCTGAGGTGATCCTGTCGACGGAAGGCCTTCCCGCAGACGTCGCAGGAATAAGGCCTCTCGTCCGTGTGGGTCCGTTCGTGGATCAACAGGTTGTAGGACTTCGTGAACTGGCGCTGGCAATACTTGCAGATGAACTGCTTCTTGGGTCGGCTGGACCGGCCGGGGACGCGGAGCTTCTGTTCGTGCAACGGCGGGAAGAGGGGCACGGACGGGTACGGCGGGATCAACGGATTCAGACCCGGAAGGAGCAGACTGGGGTTCAGTCCGCGGAGATCGTACGGGAAGAACGGGTTGGGGAAGGGCCATGGGATTTTTGGACCGCCTTCAGTCGGCATCCCTGCCAAAAACAAATGCGATGTCAAACTCTCTGATACCCAAAATGACAAAGTTCGCGATCTCGATCGGTCCGAAACGTACCTGGATGCGCGGGAAGGGATTTGGCCAACGCCTGGTGATGGAGGAAACGAAGGAGCTGTTCCTCGGATTTTGCAACTCGGATCACAGGGGTGAAGGCGGATGCACTGTTACCGGACGAATTGGGGATCGGCGATGACGTCCGGATGTCGTCCTTCTTCTTATCAGAGTTGCTGGAGAGGTCCACTGCCTCTTCGTCTGGGGTTGCCCTCTCCGCTCGGGACTTTTCCTCTTCCGTCATATCGGGGGTCGGCGGTGGGGTGAGCAGAGATGATCCTTCTCCACGCTCTGCAGAAGTTTTTAAATTACCTTCTTTGATGCTATTTTCCGAGGGTCGATCATTTTTAAAACTGAATCTTGTCATAATGATTTATTCGCTGACGGCATCATTTCGCATACTTAGAAAGCAGAAGCTTTTGTTAAGGATAGTTAAAGTGTTGGACTCTGTATCGCTCTTCGACGATAGAGTCCAACAGACACGTATCACGATTTAGTGTGATGCCCGGCATACTGTCTGAGCTCAGGAATCGTTAAGTCTGAATTTAGCTTTCTTGTAACAGATGAAGGGAGATCATGGGACATACCTGTTATGTGTTCAGTCCTGGCTAGGAAGGACATGAGCGCCCATGCACGCAGCCAAGATAGCAATGAAGGGAAGAATGCGTGTGTACGTGTTCACTGGTCAGAAGCGACTGCAACCACACCCGATGCAGCACGGAAGCTCACTGCCTCTCGGCCTCCTGCGGATGCCCACTATTATGATAAACTCCCAGCAACCGTTGCGTCAAAGCACGCCATTGGTCCGTTTTCCCTGGAAGCCCCGCCCCCGCGTTCAGTTACTGGTAGCGGATTGGTTGGCCAACTACCGAATTTCCATCTACGGAGCAGAACCAGAAGTAGGTGGAGTCTACTGGCCAAGTGGCAGGATCGACAGGGTTGCCCGATCTTCCGTCGCGATGACGCAAGCCAAGATGGCTCAATCCTCCAGATCCGTGCCGTGCAACTGTTTCCAAAAGCTGACCGTGGAAACGCACCCTTGGGTTTCACATCGATCGGGATCAAATTGTCGCTTCCCAACGGCTCAAATATCGTGAATGTTACATAAGAGCTTAATTACTGTTACGTGTTTAAAAAATATAGCCTAAAACCCTGTAATGAAATATGTGGCGTATTAAAGCAACGTTTATTTTCACTGACTCCAAAACGAAGAATTTATCAGCAAAAATTAACAGTCCCGATCTTATCTTCATCAGATAAGATTCGGGACAAGAGAGCATGATTCACGTCACCCATCTCCCATCACATCCTCCACCGCTAACGCGCGAAGCCAAGCAGATAAACAAAAACAAAACCAAGCAAGACAAGAAACGGAAAAAGTGCCGGATCATGCCCGGAGATAAGACGGGGACGATGGGATCGAGCAACCGTGTCACGGTGTGTGCGATATGCGGAGCGTGAGAGCGGGCCTGGCCTTTCGACCTTTCAATATATGCGGGGGTGGAATGAACTTCTCCTCATCATCCTCGGTCCTCCTCCTTCGTGAAAAAAAAACTTCTTTCTTTCATCCTGTTGGAGAAAGGGAAAGGCAGAAGAGGGGGTCAGAGGTGAACCGATGTTATCGATTGTTCCGGATTCTTTTGTGCCTCTCAACGCCTGGCGGGTGCCTTCCATATAATGGAACGCATCTTTTTTTTCTCTTTTTATCCTCTCCCACGCCCTCTTTTCTTTTCTTTCTTTCGCACTGGAGCCTGTGAAGGAGCATGTGAAGGACATGTAGGGCGCGCCGGAGGGGTTTCTGGCTCATCGGTTCGCGGTCATCCCGATGCCGTCCGAATTTTAAGATTAGAGAGATTAGAGCGAGACAAAGCGCATGAACGGTCCATAAGTAGAATCGACTACTATAGTCGATTAGCCGCCATTGGTCTATATCGCCATATAGCCTATCATACCGGTAAATTTGCCATTTCTGGTGCTACGAATTTCTTGGAAATCATTTCAATCTTTAATTTTCCCGTTGAACGAGCAACGCGCCGAGAAAGAGGGAATGGGGAACTCCGTAACCCAGATAAATCAGTTTCCGGGCGGATTCCATTTATGACGTTTTTAATACGAGGCGCAATCGGAAGGTTTCCGGCCTGATACGGAAAGATCGGGGTTTCGGGCATCACTGCACAACTTAATCTCGTGGGAACACGCGAGGACCAACTTCATCGATTCACAACTTCGCGGTTTTTCGTTTCTTGATTTTTATTCACACCGAAAAAGAGGAAATTTGGAATCGTTTGGGGGAAAAATCCATCGAGAGCCTTTCTTCCCTTTCGGTCGCCTCGAGAAAAGAGTCCATAAAATGGAAAAGAGTGTCAAAAAGACTTTTACAGAATGACATGCTGCGTTCCCTATAAGTTTACCTACTAATTTCGTGCTTACAGAAGTTGTTATTCGAAACGGCCGATCAGCAACGCAAGGCTCAACGCATGGACGTTGTCATGGTTCAAGAAAATCTCTGTCAATTAGTGCCAATTAATTACCGATAAATAAACTAATGCAACACCTTGCAACTGTATGCTGACTCATGAAGCACCCTGTACCGAAGTTGCCATATCAGGCTGGAAAATTTCCCGTCGCTTCTCACATGATGAACGGCCGACGAAGAATTCTCGGGGCTCTATGGGAAGGAGGGAATCCAAGAATTTTCTTTTCTTTTTTAAACCAAGCGAAATTCCTGGATATGATTTAGAAACGTAAAAAATGACACTCCACTCCCGCATATCTCACTCCCCTTCTAGTAATTACTTAATTACCCCTTCCTACCTCGCCATTAATGCCTCGTTTCTCCTCGCGAAATCTCGGTCGCATGCAAAAGGAGCACCCGTCCCTCCGCCGAATGGAGTTGGCCCCGTTCGGCCGCCCATTCGGCCACCGTGCATCTCGCCGTCGGGGAGAACGAGCATTTTCACCTGCTCGATTTCGGCGGCACGCGAGTCGGAATCGTCGAGGGACGCGAATTCAAGAACCGCGCGAAACGTTTCGACCGGTCCGGGGACGCAGAAGCAGGCAGAGTGTATAATCAATAGCTTTTTATCAGGGCTAAAGTGACAGTTGGGAGGCATGCACCTAAGTATAGGCCTGGTTTCTCCATACATCTCGACCCTTTAACTGCAAGCGGCTTCTTCGGGAGAAGGACCGGGATTTATCTTCTAAAAAAAAGAAACCGCTTTTTTGTTTTGTTCCAGCAGATTTTGTCGATGGAACCGTAATAGCGTCTCACTGACCGAAAGACCCACCGAAACGCATTACGCTCGGGCAAGGACAACAAAAAAAGGGGGATCCCCCGGAGAGATAAATAGGTGTGGGGAAAACTGCCGTAAATATACAATGGTAGTCCCCGTCTCTACTGTTTTTGCTTTGAAAACCACAGACCGGTTTCTCCCCTTTTCCCTTTCCGATTCGAGCCACGCTTCCCCGCTGAGTTCGTTTCCTCTTTACGGCCTTGCCGCTCTACGTCCAGTTCCTTTCGACGCGATGGAAGCGGAAGACCCGCGTGACGTCAACGATGACGTCATCGCGTGTTCGCTGCACGTGGAAAGCACGTGGTGGACGATCGCATTCCTCCCGGCGGTTAAAATCTCAAAATCGCATCGATGAGATCATCGGTCGGTGCATACAATTAACTCGGAAATTTTCTCACGCAAGAAATCTAGTTTTCTTTCTT